GGAAAAGAAGGCATGCGTGTCAGTGGCAGAGTGGGATTGGAATCGAGGGTCCTAGGCGTTTCCCTCTCTCCTACTTCCAAGTGGCGTTTCTAGTTGGCAAAGCTCTGGAGCTTAATCTGATGTCTATTATGCTCGATTCATACCTTGAACCAGAGCCCTCTGGAGAAATCTGCTTGCAATAGCAAGGCTTCCTTTGCGCATTGACTTGTGCAGTCACGGGTGGCTCAACGAAGACTATTAGGAAGAGAATTATATTTTGGTCTGAAGAAATGAACCCTAGCTTGTGTGTCTCGCATTGGGTTCAGTTGTCCAGCTGTTCTGTCCAATCCCAGGGGTGGAGAGGCCTTGCTACTCTTCTCAGAAAGCTGCTCTCGGTGCTCAGAAAGGGGAACAGCCTGGTTCTGGGCTGCTGGCCTGACTTACTGAGAACTCATTTGCATTTGGGAGACGAGGCACCCTGGGCAGTCCAGTAACCCACTTCTCACTGGCTCATTCAACTTGGAATGGGAAAGAAAATCGCCCTTTGTTTTTCCTTGCTTTATCTTAATTAGTTTTTCCTTTAAACAGAGCTTGGGAAGGGGGCCTTCAAATCCTGAGCCTGTCGAACCTGATAGGGTTTTGTCAGGGAACAAGAAACTCTGATGTTTCCAGGCAGCAGAATCTTCCCCACCCCAGCTGTGAAACTTACACAACAGAAACAAAATGGTATTTCCCACTATTTGCGAAGTACATGGCAGTGGGAACTCTAAGAGAATTTCCCTATCGTTATCATCATTTTATTTCCTCCCCCGAACTGAAAGCTTTTTTTCCCCTTCTTCTTCCTCCCTGTTTTTCTGGCAAACGTTACCCAGCTACAGATTGTGTTAGGCCCTGCTCTAAGATACATGCATGGGACCTAAGGGCTCCCCTCTAGATTTCCTGGAGGGAGTGGGTGGGGGTGATGCAGAAGAAAGGAGGAGAGGCCAAGGTTGACATGGGGATAGGAAAAGAAAACCTCCCCCAGCTTGTGACTGCTTAGTCATGTTTGGTTCAGGGAGTCGGTCTGTGCCAGGAGGAGCTGGGAGGCAGCCAAGCCCTGAGCCGAGGGAGTCCCCACTGATCCTGCCAAGGCTGAGCGCCCCGTCTGACTCATGAAACCTGGGGTGGGCAGTGACCTGAGGCAGAGTCCCAGAGGGGCCACCAACCAACTCTGGTTTCCCAGGTCTATCCGTTGCGGGCCTTAGAGAAGCTCAAAGGATCTTGTTTATTTATTGCTTATTTGGTGATTGTCCCTCTCCCCCTGCTCTGGACGGGATGCGCCAGGATGGCAGGGACCTCACCTGTTGGGTTCACTGCTGTATCCCATCCTGGAGCATAGTAGGCCCTTGGGACAAACTTGTTGAGTGAATGAGTGAAGGAACTTGCCGCCTGTCTTTGCCGATTCATCATCATCCATCCCCCTGCTCGAATAACGCTGGCTCCACGAGGGCCTGAGCCTCGTTGGTTTGTTCACTTCTGCAGCCTCAGCACCTCATTCAATGCCCAGCACACAGTAGGTGCTTATGGCAGACACTTTTAGATGCCCACCTACACTGGTTCCCCTTCTCTCTTGACAACAGAACCCCAAGTTGTCCAGGCAGCCATGTGCCAGGGGATGAAGCAGGAAGTTCTGGGTTGATGGTGGCAATCTTCGCTCTTGGTCAGGCACTATTCAAGTGTGGTGACATCTGACCCAGTTCTGATCTTCTGGGGACTTAAGTTTTTTCCCCCGAAAGAAGAGGCATGGAGGAGAGAGAGTCCCCTTTGTCGTTTGCTTTCCTGCTTTGGAGTTGTTGGGTGAGGAGGTGATGTTTCTGTTTCAGCAGCTATTTTGCGACTCTGAGACCCCAAAGTTTGGGAGAAAAAGCCACCACGGTGAGGACAGCAGTGTTGAAGTTGCCATGGTCCCTGATGATACCAAGTCCTGAGCCAGCATTAGGAACCAACCTCCTCTGGACTTCCTGCTCAATAAATAATATCCTTATGTTTTAAGCTCATTTTTCTAAGCTCATTTTTCTACTCCTTGCAGCCAAATGCATCCTAAGGCAGCACTTAGTCCATGAGTTGTATAAACGAAGGCCTTCACTTACTGAGCACTTACTAGATGGTCTGAGCACCTTCTGTGTATTCACTCAGGAATCCTGCAGCAAGCTTATGACATAGGTACTGGTATTATCCTCAGTTCACCGATAAGGCACAGACAGCTTAAGTATCTCATTAAAAAGTGTATCATCTTTCAGTGCCACAGTTATCACTGTGGATGAGGATGGAGGGAGAGGAGTATCCCACAGAAATCTCAGGGAGTAACAGAGTGTCTGAGACATGGGGGTGGGCCAGGGATGGGCTCCATCCACAAATGTGGAAATGTTCTTGGGTGGGGCCAATTCTTGGGTGAAGCATGGGAGTTGTGTGTGAACTTGAAGCTCTTTCTTGGCCAAGGGCTGAGAAGGGGGGTAACATTTGTTGAGCGCCTTCTGTGTGCCAGCTATCTGTGTGAGGTATCATCTATCAGTGGCTTTCAACTGGGGGTGATGCTGTCCCCCGGGGATGTTTGGCAATGTTAGGAGACATTTTTGGTTCTCACAACTGGGGAGGGAGTGCTACTGGCACCTAGTGGGTATGGGATACTGCTGAACGTCCTACGATGCACAGGGTGGCCTCCCCACAACAAAGAATTATCTGATCCCAAATGTCAACAGTCCTGAGGTTGAGAAACTGCATTACATACATTTTGCTCTCACAAAGACTCCCATTTTACAGATTAGACAATCAAGGCTCAGAGAGATGAAGTGTCTGGCCAATGTCACCCAGCCAGTTAGATCTGAAGCTGGGATACAAATGCAAGCCTGTTTCATTCCATGGTCCATGTTGCTCCCACTAGGCTCTGTCCCTGTGGTGGACAGGATTAATTTAAAGATGAGGCAATTGAGGCTCAGGGAGCTGTTGTGACCAGTCTAAGGTCACATGCAGAGCTACTCCAGTCAAATGCCACCTTGCCGATGATCCCAAAGAAACAGAGCTCAGGGTGGGCCGAAGCCACCCTGTTCTCTGTGTCCCTAGGCACTTGCAGTATTTACCCAGAGGCCAATGGGAGAAAAGTTCTAGGTGTTTGGAACAGAGATTAAATAAGCAGTAATATTCTCGATCCCCAAATGGTTATAGTCTAGAGGAGGATATTGTATGAAATCAGCTAATCCACTGCAGAGACAATACAATCTTCTGGTCTGGCAATAGGAGTGGGTTAGGGATCATAAGGGTAGTTTAGACAGTGGGGCTAGGCCAAAAGGGCAGTTCACACATGCGATAAAAAGAAATGTTTACAGAGAACTATCTAGGTGCTGGGTACTGTTCCAAGGACTTTCTGTGGAATAACACATAGCCCTGTGCTATACTTTATGAGCTAGGTGCCATTATTTATTTGTTTATTTTTTTGAGACAGAGTCTCCCTCTGTCACCCCAGCTAGAGTGCCGTGGCATCAGCCTAGCTCACAGCAACCTCAAACTCCTGGGTTCAAGCCATCCTCCTGCCTCAGCCTCCCAAGTAGCTGGGACTACAGGTGGGGGCCACCACACCAGGCTAATTTTCTCCATTTTTAGTAGAGACGGGGGTCCCACTGTTGCTCAGGCTGGTCTCGAACTCCTGAGCTGAAGCAATCCTCCCGCCTGGACCTCCCAGTGTGCTGGGATTACAGGCGAGAGCCAGCGTGCCAGGCCAGGTGCCATTATTATTCCCATCGTTATTGATGAAAACAACACTGAGGATCTGAGGCGAGGAAACCAGCCCAAGGTCATCCAGCTAGGGAGGAGCTGGGATTCGAACCCCAGCGGCTGACGCTAGGCCCCAGAACTCCCTCACCTCTCCATACCTTCCCGTAAGGCGCGTGAGGACATTTGTGGGGCGGTTCAATTATTATCAAGGTCACACCGCGCAGCCCGGACTAGAAGCTGTGGGGTCGGTGGATGGAGGCGGGGCAGGGCACCTGCCGCTCGATTGATAACTCGAGAGCGGATAATAATTTCTTCTGAGGAAAGGTGGAAAGGGCAGGTCCATGGGGCAAAGAAGTTGTGAAAGAAGGAAAGAGAAAAGTGAGGTTTAGCGCGAGTGGTGCATATTTCTTCCCAAGGTCGTGGCAGCGCCCGAGAGCACCCAGAAGGCCCGTTGTTCCCGGAGGGGGTCGGGCGCCTGGCAGGGGCCGCCCCTCTTTCTTCGCGGGGCCGGCGGGGGCGCGCGTGGCGGGCGGGCTTGCTCCCGAGCGGCTCCGCCGCAGGCCGTTCCGACCCGGTGATTACTCGGCCCGAGCGGCGGCAGCGGCGGCCGGACCTGCGTGCGTGTGCCTGCGCGCGGCGGGTGTCGCGCGTGTCGGGTGGGAGTGGCGTAGTCCGCGCGAGCGAGAGGCGCCACGCGTCCGGGCGCGGAGTTGGTGCCCCCCACACGGCGTGAGCGCTGCCCGGGCCCTCCTCGCTCCGCCGGGCCCCTTCCGGAGGGTTCCCGCCCGGGCCGCGCCGAGCTTCCGACGTAGGCGCCGAGCGCCGCGGCGCGTCTGCAGGGGCCCGGTGCGCGCGCGGAGCGCCTCTGCGGCCGAGCGCGGCGTGGCACTTGGCAGACGCTCCCTGGGCGGCGGGGGCGGCGGCGGCGGCGGCGGGGCCAGCCGTCTGGGAGCCCCCAGGGCCGGCCCCCTCCCGCCCCTGGTCCAGCCTCCGCGCGGGCGCGTCTGCAGGGGCCCGGTGCGCGCGCGGAGCGCTCTGCGGCCGAGCGCGGCGTGGCACTTGGCAGACGCTCCCTGGGCGGCGGGGGCGGCGGCGGCGGCGGCGGGGCCAGCCGTCTGGGAGCCCCCAGGGCCGGCCCCCTCCCGCCCCTGGTCCAGCCTCCGCGCGCTGCCTCCGCCCCCGGCCCGGGCCGCCCGCCCCCCGGTCCCGCCCGCCGCGCCAAGCGCCCGGCCCGCCGCTGAGCCCGGCCCGCCGGCGCGCCCCGTCCGGGATGGGGCGCCTGGACGCCTGAGTCGCCGTTCCGCACGACCTCCGCGCGGGGGAAGGACCGGCGCCGTGCGGCCGCGCTAGAATGGAGGTACCCAGCGGCAGCGGCGGCGGCGACCCCAGCGGCGACGGGGCAGGGGACGGTGCCCACCCGGATCCCCGGACCCCCGGCGCCTCTGCGCCCAGCTCCGGCCCGTGCGCGGCCGCCCGGGAGTCGGAGCGCCAGCTGCGCCTCCGCCTCTGCGTCCTCAACGAGATCCTGGGCACCGAGAGGGACTACGTGGGCACCTTGCGCTTCCTGCAGTCGGTGAGTGTCGCCCGGAGAGCGCGGGGGCAGCCTTCGCTCCGCCGCCAGCCAGAGCTGCGGTCCCCGCTACCTGTGGCCGCGGTTCCTGGGGGGGTCTAGAGAGTCGCCTCGGGGGCGCCCCGCGGGCGCGCGGAGAAGTGGAGGAGAACCAGGCTCCTCCGGAGCTGTGCTGTCGCCTCCTGGCCGGCCCGTGTGCAGCTCCGACCCGGGGTCTCCCGCACTCCGTTTCCCACCCTGCGCGCGCTGCCCTTTTGTCTTTTCTTCCCCCTCCCCGCCTTTCAAATAGTTTTAAAATTAGTTACATCCGCGAGGCAGGGGCTCTGAACCCCGGCGCCGGGAGCTTTTGCTCCTGCGTCTTTTTCCCGGGAACAACTTCGCCGCCTGATGTGCTCATCTAGGACAGACCTTAGTTCCTAGAGCCCAGCGTCTCTCCGGGTTTAATAGCGTAGGATAAAACCCGAAGCCCGGAGGAGGGATGGGAACTGACAAAACCCCAGGGAAGAATCTCCCATGTACACAGTTTTGCTGGAGTTTGGGGAGAGTGGGTTTCGAACTCACGACTCGGCGATCCAGCCTCCCTAACCTCCCCTCCCCCTCAGTCTCCAAGTTGCAAAACCACAGTCTCAGACTTTGTGAAGTAACAGCTGAGCGCTTACTATGTGCCAGGCACCCTACATGTGTCATTGATTAGCAGGTTTCACAATTGGCTCATGAGGTAGGGATGAGAATGTCGCCCATTTTTTCGATGGGGAGAATGTAGCTCCAGAGAGGCTGAGTAACTTGCCCAGGATCACACAGTTGGTTAAGTGGGGATACTGGGCTTTGAGCTAGAGCAGTCCCAGCCGCTGCTCTAAACGCCTATTCTATGCTGTATTTCTTTTTATTTTTTTCTGTGAGAGAGAGGAAGGGGCCACTTCCCTACTCTCCTAGGAAGTGAGAAAACTGGCTAGAGGGTGGTGGGGGTGGGACAGAGGTAGAGCCTTGGGTGGAAGTTAGGAGACTCCAGAGGCTTTAATCTCCGTGCCTCCTGCTGGGACCTCATTTACTCCCCTTCCCTGCTCAAGGAAGTCTTTTAATCCTGGTTCAGGAAGGGCTGGTGCGGGGGTGGCTCTTTCAGAGACCCCAGAGCCAGGCTCTGCAGCTCCCAGTCTCCCGGGTAAAGACAGACTCTGGGATCCTCTGGGGCTCCCGTGGCTTAGGGGTGCAGTTGAGGCTGCATGAGATCCGGATTTCAACTCCGAGAGGAGGGAGCCCCAGAGCCCTTTTCCCTGTGAAAGGAGGGGTATTGGTGGGGAGGGAGGGGGGTGTACAGAGGCATTGAAAAGCATTTGGCCAAAGGACCCTGCTAGAACAGCCTGTAAGAATAAGGCAGGGTTGGTTCTCTTTCCCATGTCTTCCTCACTCACAGGCCATGCAGGGAGAATCAGCTCGATTTGAAGCTGGCAGTTTCTGAATTAAAGATGCAGACAGCCCCGGTATCTTTGAGCAATGTCAGATTCTAGGGAACTCCTCACTTCTTCTGAGCCACTCCCCGCTCCTCAGTCTGGAAGAGAAACAGGAAACACAAACCAATTTTTATATTAATGGGAAAGAAAACATACCTTTGCCTCCCACGCCCGTGCCCTAGATGGTGTGGTTCCTTTCAGAAAAGATACAGATTGTGTTTGAGTGAGCTGCGGTCTTAAATCGTCCACGTGTTGAGTTGGAAGACACGGGAATAATGGAAATTGATTGGAGTCACCCATTCTTATGCTTAAAGAAATGGGAAAAAAAGATTACTTCCACATTGTCTCCTGACACTTTTAATATGCTGAGCTCATCGCATTTTTGTTGTTGATGTGTCAGTTTTGAGATGAGTTGGTTCTGCCTTTGACATGTGTCTTGGACCAGTCATGCCACCTGTCCTGACCTCAGTTTCCCTACCTGTAAAATAAGAGGAGGGGGGATCCAGGTTTCCTTTCTGCCTTGTCCTTTTGTGTGTCCCCAAGCTGGTGACAGAAACGGACTGATTGTGTAACCTGACCAGTCATACCTTGTTCGTGAGCCGCAGGAATCCTGCTCCATGAGGAATGGCCCCTAAACCACCCAAGGAAGGCCTTTTAGTTTTGCAAACCTGGGGCTTAGAGCTTCTGGAACTGCTAATTACCACGGCTTTCCATGGCAGCGAGGCTGGCAGCCTGCAGGTTGTGATTTTCTTCTTCTTCCCACTCTCTCTACTTGCTAAGGGATTTTTCCCCTGCCTCCTGGCTTGGAAGAAGGCACGGTAATCCCTCCTTGCTTTTAATTCCACGTGGTAGAGGCAGCCCTTGAGGGACAGCCCTGGCCTTCCTGTGTCCCTGGTTTGGAGGTGCTGTCAGCCACTGGAAAGGACGCCTCTGTAATAGGCTAAGCATTGTGGGGGAGGCCAAGAAGCCAGGTCTGGCTCTTGCCTCCAGGAGGGGACAGTCTAGTCGAGAGTGGCAAAACAGGCATTTAAAAAAAATCCAAGTGCAAGGCTGGGCTCTGGAGCCAGACTGCTTGGGTTTAAGTCCTTGGACCTGTGACCTTGGGCAAGTGGCTTTACCTTTTTGAGCCTTACTTTCCTTATGTGTAAAATGGGGGATGATAATAGATCCGATTTTACAGGTTTTTCAAAAAAGGATAAATGAGATATAAATTGATATAAAGCGTGTAGAACTGTGCCTGGCAGGTAGTAAGGTATATAAATACCAATAATAATGATTGTTATTTGATAGTAGGGTTATGGAATTTCAGCATTCAGGGAGCGGGGGTGGTCAGGGAGGGCTGCCTGGAGGAAGTGAAGTCCGAGTCAGCAGTGAAGGGAGGACAGGGGCTCTGAGTGAGTTTCCTTTTGACCCTCTAAGTTCCAGCCACAGGAACTAGCGGTTTTGTTTGGTTCCGGGCCTGGGACTTTGTGGTTCTGGCAGAATCTCCCCATCTTTCCCATCTCCTTCAGGAACTGGATTGCACCCCCACTTCCAAGAAAGTCCTGTGAGTTCGGTGTTTTGTGTGTGTTTATTAAAGAATCATGAAAAGGCAAGGACAGCCCCTCTCGTTGAGATGCTGGGTCTATCTTGGAGGCCACCTCAGGAGTTGTGGGTGACAGTGCCCTGCTTTTTGACTTGGAACCTTGGATCTCAACGTTTAGAAGCCCTGGCTTGTGCTCGTGGGCAGTGTTAGTCATGATGAAAACAATGCCAGTCATTACTGTGTAGAAACTGACACCTATTTATCGTTTACCATTCTAAGCACTTTGCATGTGTCAACTCCTTTAATCTTCTCTGTGAAGGGGACGCTGTTGTTACCTTCATTAACAGACCAGGAAACTGAGGCAAAGCGTATTTAAGTGAACTGCCCTGGGTTGTGTAGACAGCGTTGCCAGGATTTGATCCCAGGCTGCCTGACCCCAGAACTCTTGTCCCCAGCCACTTTGCAGACTGCCTCTGGCTTATAAAATAAGGGCTTGGCACATGATTTGTTAAGGTGGCAGAACCGGGATTTGAACCCAGGTCTCTGTGACCCTTAACCTCCTTCTGTGCCTCCTCCTGTTACTTCCCCTCTGTGACATCTGTTCTCTCATCTGCAGAATGGGCAGAATGTGGAAGTTTGGAAATGGCAGGCTGCCGGTTCCTCCTCTGTGCTCTGTGTCTGCTCATGGCGTGAGGGTTGAGTGGGGCTCCGAAGGCAGGCCGCTGGGGTTCAGACCCTGGCTTTCCCCCACACCAACTGTAGGTGACCCTGGACAGGTCACTGACTTGCTCTGTGTCTCAGTTTCCGCTTCTTTACAATGGGCATAGTATAGCACCTGTTTCACAGAGGTGTCATGAAGCTCGGATGAGCCTGAGGTTAAAATTCTTAGAACACTGCAAGGAACATTGGGTGCTTGGAATGCTGTGGTGACTTTTTTGGGGACATGCAGCAATGAGATTGTCTTCTTGGAGCTCAAAGGCTCCCAAGGCCTGAGTAAGCCTTGGGCCCACCTGCCTCTTGGTTGCATTGGCTCAGAGTCTCTGCTCGCAAGGGGAGAGACCTCAGGGGCAGGTGCCAATGGCTCCCATGGTGGGTGTACCCGCTGGGCAGTGGTGGGGACCAAGGGGGAGCCTAGGTGGGTGGGCACAGAGACCCTTGGCTAGGGGTCAGCAGTTTTCTGGAAGGCTCCCAGTGACTGAGGACAGAGACCCGTCACTCCTAGGCACCCAGAGGGTCTGTCCCGAATCAGCCGGGGTCTCTGAGGAGCAGAGATTGTGGACAGAAAGCTCCCAGAATGCTTGCCCTGGTTCTGCTTTTTGGAGGAAGGAGACCGAAGTTTTTCTTCTCGTTGGGGCTCTGCTTGCCAAACAAGAAACTGTGGTTTTGCGTTGTCACTATTTTTTGTTTTTTGAAAGATTCTGTCCTTCTAGTCTCACACTAGGGAGATGCGCCGGGGTCGGGGGTGGTGGCGGTGGGGCGGGCATGCCTTTGATTCTTTAGTCACTGAGACAGAGTGACCTCCCCAGTGACCTGGGGGATTTTCATGTGGTCCTGTTGTGAAAAGTAGGATGCTAAGCAGTATACATAATGCAATTCCGCTTTTAGAAGGTAAACAGTAACCATAATATACGCATGTGTGTCATGTGTAAGGTTACGGGAGCTTGGAGAAAAGGAAGTGGAGAGAAGCAACCAGGAAGATAGAAAAGGAAAAAAATGTACTAAGAAATCCTGTTTGTAATACCCTTTTCATATAAAATTATGCATATGTGTGTATTTATTTTTTTAAAAACGCCAACAGAAAGAATTGTATTTCCAATGTGGTTATTAGATCAAAGCAACAATTGTAACAATAATTTGCTAATATTTATGCATTTGAGAGCCCTGTGTAAAGCTTCCTCATGTATTAAAAGCTTCAGGTATTCTTATGCTTCCCATTTTACAAATGAAAGACATAGAGAGGCCAAGTCAATTTCCCAAGATCACACAGCCTGACAGAGCTGACATTTGAACCCGAGTAGCCTGGCTGCATG